TTCTTTCAGAGGTTTTCAAAACACAAACCAAGAAGAAGTATTGAGGGAATTGGGTGGCTTCATCTAGAGAAGACATGGTAGCCACTTTCAAGTATGTTAAGGACCGCAGTGAGGAAAGGATTAATCTTTCTCTGAATCCACTGGGATAAGGATTAAGACCTTAGACTGCTGCAAGGGAGTGTCAAGCTATGTATGAAATACTCTGAATGAATAACAGTGAATTGAATGGATTGCCCGGGGGTGGTGGAGAATCTGCATCACCTGAGATCTTCAGGACCTGATCAGACTCTTGTCAGCAAGGGACAGGTAAGCTTGGAGCAAGAATATGGAGAAACTGGGAAAGATGTTTAAGTTGGCCTCTGAAGGTCATTTCTCACTGTGAGTAGAACCTTAGCATTAGATTTGTTTCAGGAAGATCAGGTCCTTCCTGGCAACCTAAGTAGAATAATGCAGAACTGAGCGAGGAAAGGACTGAGCTCCCTTTTGCTTCATGCCTCCACCTAGGCAGATTTGAGGCTGGTCAGCACAAAAGAATGCAACTCTGCTGCCAGCCATACTGTATTTGTTTTGTTGCTGAATTGAAGACATCAGGCCTCCCCTGTTACTTTTTGTGGCCATTCAGCTTTACCTAACCCAACAGGAAACCTCTCCAGACATTGTGGGTCTTCAAGTTTTGGAAGCTAACTACCCAGACAAAGAAAAAAACCCAAAAAACACTTAATAAGGTTTGTAGTTAAGTGATAATTTAAAGCAAGCAGCGCCTGGTTTACCACAGAGAGCATTAATTTCTTCCAAAATATCAGAGCAAACAGCAGAGATTTACTGACTAATTTTGGAGAAAAATCACCATCAGACTGTATCCTGAACACTAAACTAATAGGACTGTCTGAGGCAATGCACATTTTGGGTTGGAAGAAATTATACATAATTTGGGATGCAACTCAAAGTGAGATCTTGAAAGATGTTGAGCAGGCTGTATCAGAGCATGGCATCAACTGGAACAATATTTATTCTGTTTAAAATCTCTGAGCACAAGGAACTAGGAGATCTGGAGACAAAGCTATTAAAACTGTCATCTGCTAGTCATTACCAAGAGTAGCCCAGGTGATTGAACTAAAGGATGAAATCACCAGCTGACAACTGTATAGGTTATGCCAGTGGCTTCCCACCCCACTTGCTAAAGGGACATACTGGGAAAGAGTCTATACCAGGGAAAGTCCCCCCACACAATTAGCCAGCAGGGGAGAGTGGAGTAGTGACACTCAGCATCATCATGTGTTCTTTATGTCCAGCTGTGAAGTTCTTCCAGAGAAAGGCATATAGCATAATCCCTGCTCCCTTCTTGTTGAAAAACAAGAAAATCTTGACACATGAGTGAGGTGATTGACCTTTGGTTGAAAAGCAGAATGGGGAAATACTCTAACTCTCGGGTCACAAAAAGATTCGGACAAGAAAAAGTGAGATAGTATTTCTGAGTGTCACACATTGAAATTGTCTCATGATATTGGTTTTAGAGCAGGAGAAAATCCAATTCATGCAGTAAATGTTTTTACTTTTAAATATTTGCTCCAAATTAACTACTGTTCCCATTTTTCACTTACTCCCTGTGGTAATCTCCTTATTTACCCATCTCTCTCTTATATATGCGCATGCATAGGCAAATTCATCCCCAGTCAACTTCTCCCTCATCCTGTAAACAGCTCATAATATCAACACAACAGCATTGAAAGAGGATTTATTTACTATATAATAAAATATGAATCCACTATTTTGACAGTGACAAACAATAAGCATCAGTTTGCAGGAGCATTTTAATGAGAATGTGGGGAATAATCTGCCTCACCATTCTTCAGTTCCAGTGGAAAACAGTTTTTCCCCTTCCCTTCCCTTCCCTTCCCTTCCCTTCCCTTCCCTTCCCTTCCCTTCCCTTCCCTTCCTTCCTTCCCTTCCTTACTCCTTGCCTTCCTTCCCTTCCTCCTTTTCCCTTCTTCCCTTCCCTTCTTCCCTTCCCTCCTTCCCTTCCTCCTTCCTTCCCCTTCCTCCCGTCCCTTCCCTTCCCTTCCCTTCCCTTCCTTCCCTTCCCTCCTTTCCCTTTTCCCTTTCCCTTCCCTCCTTCCCTTCCCTTCCCTTCCTTCTTCCCTTACCTTCCCTCCTTCCTCCCCTCCCTCCCTTCCTTCCCTTCCCTTCCCTCCCTTCCTTCCCTTCCCTTCCCTTCCCTCTCCCTCCCTTCCCCTCCTTGCCTTTCCTTCCCTTCCCTTCCCGTTCCCATTCCTTCCCTTCCCATCCCTTACCCCTCCCCTCTCCCCCCTCCCTCCCCTCCTCCCCTCCCTCCCTCCCCCCCTCCCTCCCCTCCCCTCTCCTCGCGCCCTTCCCTCCCCTGCTTTGGCTACAGCTTTTGATGTTCCCTATGCAGGCAGGCTTAATGTCTTTCATGAGATGCAGTCCCTTCAGTCAGGGCTCTTTCATGACATGAAAAGCTTTCTCTGTAATTTTTTTATTATTATTTTTATGTAAGCTGTTAAAACATGGAGAAAACACTGTCTGATTATTTAAAGATAAAATCCAGACTGGGTCACATATCTCTATTGCAAGACTCAGTCTACTTTAAATTGATGAGCTGAGGGAATATTGGAGGATTTTTATTCTCAGTAGTCGTGACAGGCGAATGAGGGAGGTGGGAGTGAAAGCTAGATGGGTTCTGAGCAGCTTTTCCTCCAGTTCTGCCGGAGGTGTCTCTTAGCTGTTCATCACTGTAGATCCAGTGCCTACAGTCTTGGTTTGCACTTGCTTGTATTATTGCCACTGCTTTTCTCAGAAATGTTGAATCATGAAAGTTATCTGGGAGAAAAAAAAGAAGTTATTTCTAAGGAAGAACCCTTGAACACTCGGTTGCTGTAACCACCTTCCGTGCTAGTGCACGTGCAGGAGACAGGCACAGCCACTCTCTCCTCAAGGCCTCTCTCCCTAGAAACTGAGGCATGAAAAACATTTCAGTTTTGCTCTGCACCTTCAGGCAAAGGGAGAATCTCTTGTGGAGAAGCAGAGTCTGTGCTGAGGGGCTGGCCAGTAAGCATAGGACCTCAGTTAGGCAAAACATATCTTTATTCGGCTTTTGACCAGTGCAGAGTTTGACTGTCTGCAAGGGCACAGCTGCAGCTCAGCAGCCCTCTTTTCTCCCCTTCTCCTGTCATGTGTGGCTCATCTGTGGAGGGAGAGAGGGATGCTATTCATTGGAGCTGGGAGGGTGCAGCACGTAGGTGTGTAGGAGAAGGAGCGGCTGTGCACAGCGCCTGTGTAGACAGTACAAGGACAGCGTGGGTGGGCAGAGGGGGGTGAGGGTGTGCAGCTGTCAGAGAGCAAACACGTTTCTTCAAAACTTTTACCAGCATGTCATACTGCCCAGGCTCCACTTGCCCAGGTCAGAGCCTTTCCTGCTGTTGTGTTAAGGTGCCTGCAAAGCTAGGGAGGCTTTAAATCTGCAGAGACTTCCCCTCACGTTTCTCCTTGCCCCTAGTGCCCCTAGTTCCCCTAGTGCCCCTGGTGTCCCCTCACCCTGCCTCCCTCACCCACGCCGTGAGAAGGAAGGGTACTCCACAGGCTGTAGCAGCAGAACGCCCCTTCCCACTCCTCTGCTCTCCCCGTGGGACTTGTCAGAACCTCAGAGCCCCAAGAGCACACTTCTCTTCTCCAGGGCCCAGGTCGTCCTCGGAGGGAGACAGAGGGACTAGAAGCAGATGCGGATGGTGCTGAAGGGACAGCTCCGGCGGGGGGTGGGCAGGGTCCGACCGGGGACAGGGACATGGGGAGGGTCGGGAAGGGAGAGGACCAGACAAGAATAGGACTAGGGAGGGAGATGAAGAGAAGGAGGGAGAAGACCAGACTGGAGCTGAAAAGCACAGGGACAAGTACAGAGACAGGGAGAGACGGGAGGCATTAGACGCAGAGAGACAGACACGGGGCAGGGACAGAGAGAAGAGGAACAGGACAAAGCCGAACCGAGCAGGACAGAAAAAAAGCATGAGGGGAGAGGGAAAGGGAGAGGGAGGGAGAGAGGGAGAAGGAGAGACAGCGGCAGACGCGGGCTGTGCTCCGCGCTCGGCTGCCCATGGGGATCTCGGCACAGCCAGTTGTAGCAGCGGCCTCCGCCGGCGCCAGAACGCCGGGGTAGCGGGCGGCAACCCGCCGCGACCTGGTGGACAAGGGACTGGCAGGTGGCAGGCGCGGCGGCCGCCGGCGGGGAACCCCTCCGTGGACGCCGTGGCTTTGCAGACACCGCGGCGGCTGGGGAGCCCCTTGGGGCGGCCGGCATCTGGGGTGTTCGGGGTTCCGGGGCACCTACACGGCCACCCAGCCAGCTGCCCGCCGCGAGTGGTCCTTCCGGGCTTTCCTAGAGCCCTGACGATGCCGGCTGTAATGCCCGGGTGCCGGGTAACCGGGCCGGCGGAGTGCCGGCCCGCCCGGCCAGGATTGAGCCGTGCCCACCGGAGCCGCAGTCTTGCAGCAGCGGGGACGCCCCGGCCCGGTAGCCGAGCGCTGCAGGTTGCCTCTGGACACACTCGACCAGCTGTTTTGTACATTTTCTAATTTCGTGCAGAACAGGGCAGCGGTCATAGAGGTAATCTGTAGATCCGTGGCTTTAAGGGATAAATTAGAGCACTGGATTTGATCCGTATTGCAGTGGATTAGAGCAACCTATCCCCCCTCCCCTTCTCCTCCTCCCACCCCTCCTTTCCAATTCACTCCCCCCTCCTTCAGCACCACCTTTTTTCCTTTCATGCAATACCAAAACTGATCCTGCCTGGCAGAGGGACTCTGCTAGGCGAACAGAGCGGTGACCACGTCGCCTGCACACCGCGGGAGCCGCCTCTCCCCTTCCAGCCGCCGCAGCCCCTCCGGGGCATCGCTGCTGCAAGTTCCCCGCGAGGCAGGCGCCGAGTTGCTGCATAGATGTCGTCCTCCGGGGCGGCCGGGAGGAGCAGTCGCGTTGGCCCACGGGCTGTCCCTTTGCCCCGGCCCGGCCGGGGCCGTGAAGCGGCGGCGAGGGAGAGCAGTCCCCGGAGGGCATTTCCCAGAGGCAGCGGGGCCGGGACCTGGCAGGAAATGGAAGGATGAAGTGTGTAGCCGGAGCGCTGATGTTCCTTCTCTTCTTGCTTTCCCCCGCAGGAACGTAATCCGCAATGCTAGTTCTCAGGTTGCTCAATGTTGTGGCTCCAGCCTACTTCTTGTGCATCTCCCTAGTGACCTTCGTCCTCCAGATCTTTCTCTTCATCCCCAGCATGTTCAGAGACCCTTCCACCACCCCACTTTTCTCTCCTGCTCTGCTGCATGGGGCCCTCTTCCTCTTCCTCTCAGCTAATGCCCTGGGCAACTACGTCCTTGTGATCCAGAGCTCCCCCGAGGACTTGGGCAAGGACTTAAACTTGGGCAAAGGAGGCGAAGTGGCGGACTGGCTGGATGGAAGCAGGTCCCCTGGCTCAGCCTTGCCCAGCACTCACTTCTGTAGACTGTGTGCCAGAGTCACCCAGAGGCATGACCACCACTGTTTCTTCACAGGGAACTGCATCGGGAGCAGGAACATGCGAAACTTCATCATGTTCTGTCTCTACACCTCCTTGGCTTGCCTCGACTCCCTGGTGGCAGGCATGGCTTACATTTCTGCTACACTCTCCATGTCCTTTGTGGACCCACTGGCCTTCCTCACTCTTCTGCCTCACTCTATCAGCCAGTTCTTCTCAGGTAAGGACTCCTTGCTCAGACATAAGGAGTGGGTTCCTCCTCTAGGGCTCCTGAGATGGGGGGGACCTGATCTTCCTTGGATAGCCGTGTTGTGGAGAGGTGGTAGGGAAATGGGCAAGAGGGGCAGTTGGCCTTCTTTGGAGGCTAGAGACAGCCTTTGCAAAGGACTTTGCTTCACATGAAATAGAAGTTGGGACCTACTCCTGGTTACAGCCACAGCCCTATTCCTAATGCATTAGGCTCTGGAAAATGCTCCGTAACCAACCTGTTGGTGACAGACTAGGGCTATCTGTTGTGCAGGACATATATTGCAATTAGACAGAGGAAATGGATTTCACTCATTGTTCTGCAGGTGTGGGGAATCTTTTTCTGGTCTTACAGGCAAAGATGGGGGGGTTCTGTAGGTTTTTGTATCGTACAAATCTGCAGGTTCTCCGTATTCCAGCAGATATGCCCTCATTCTCTTTGTCCAGGTCCACTCAGCCCCTCCACTGTCACCCACCTCCCGCCTCCTGGCAGTGCAAACTTACTGAGATCTTTTCATCCTTTCAGCACTGGGAATTGGGATTCAGGCAACAGAAACCGAGAGAAGAGTTAATGTGACATGATTAGCCACCTCTTTTGTGACCCCAGTCTGAGACACAAGTCCACAGAGAACCAGAGGAAATTCTCTGTGCTCACTCTTTGCAAGAGCTCCACATCAAAAGCAAAAACCTTCTCCTTGCTGCCATCCTTTACTTTTCTTTCTGCTTCTTCCCCTTTCCCCTCTCTCCTGGCCTTTCCATAAATCTCCACAACCCTTCTCTTTCCCTCTCCTGATGTTGCTCCCATAACTCATCCTCTGCCCTTCTGGCCTTGCCTCTTCACCTTGCAACACACCCTCAGACTCTCCAGCCTCAACCCTTTCTCTGTCCAAACCCGAGAGCTAGAGAAGAGACTATACAGACAGTTTAGACTGTTACTTTGCCCTGAAAGCAACTACAGAAAATTGACATTTCCCCCCATGCAGTTTATGCCTTGTACACTTAGATCAGCTTTCACTAGGTTAAAATACGTATCCCATATATTTTAGCTTTGCAGATTCAGCTGAGCTCAGTAAGAAGGGAGCCTGTTTTGGCTTGTGCACTGTCACCAGAAGTGTTGATTACAATCTGAGTGTGGAGTCTCCACTACTAAGGATACAGGAGCCAGAGAGGCTCCAGCTTACTTTTCAGATTCCAGGCTGGGTTTGGAGGTTTGCCATCTGAAAACAAACAAATATCTCTCTACTTGGCAAATTAGCAGATTTGTCATGGTAATCACTGAGAGACAATAAACATGACATCCTGCCATGACATTTTTATGGAGTCATTTTTCCATCTAGAAGAATTTTTGTAAATAATATAGCATGAGCTTCACTAGCATTAGAAACACTGGGAGTGATTTTCCCCTGTGCCTAAGCTCTGGTCAGCACAGCAGCCTGGGAGGGGGAGCAGGGATGTGGGAGATTATCAAGGAATTAGTTCTCTCTGAGGGCTCATCTCCACTGAGCTGCGTCCTAGCACATCTTTGCAGAACCACTGAAGTGACCCAGCTCTGGTGTCAGCAACTGCAGTGCCAAACACAGCAAGTGGGCAGTGTTTAGTGGGACACGATGGGGCTGGGTGCAGGGTTGGGAGCCAGAGCACCCCTGACAACCTCTAGTTCTGCTGGGATGAGAACTGCTGCCTCACACAGCAATATACAGGCATGTGGTGTCTTGATTGCTTGGGAGAAAGGACCTACTAGGCTTCTACCAGCACATTTAATCTCCAGTTCAGGTAAGAAATACACAGTCTTGAACAGTTACCTGGAAGGGCTGCCCACACAGTATTTTTCATCTAACTTAACTATTACTTAAGGGTTGTTATATGATCCAGAGAATTGCTGCAGCAGGGAAAAAGCTTTACCTTTCTTCTTCTCCATCATGCCCACTGTACTGCAGAAGGAGTAAAGGAGGATAAAGGGTGAATCTGCTGGTCTTACGTCCAACAAGTGTTCCCTGTTTTCATGCTGGGAAAATTTTCAGCTGGCTCATTCTACCCAGACTGTGCTCAGGCATGCATTTCAGAATCTGACCCAAAGTCTATAATTGCAGCCTATGATTCAGCTTTTCTGTCATGGATAATGTATGGCAATAAGCTTGAAATCATACCAGGTCACTTAGAGCAAAAGTGGATCCGAGACTAAAAGAGACTGTGGTGATGAGGAACAAATGGAGAGCACTTTTGTAAACATAGGTCAGATTGGATCCACTAGAGAAATTATAGAAAATGCTTTATGTAGGTAGCCTGAAGAAAAGGTTAAAAAAATCATGTATCTGAAAGGGATAGCTCAGAGATGCTTAATATTTTCAAGGGGAAACAAGGGTAATTACTTTCTGGATGTTGAATTTCATCAGCTTATATAAATAAAGCTTACAGCAGCCTTGCAAAGGTTCTAAAGAAAATAGCTGTATTTCTCCATATCCCATCTGAGTATCAGCTATAGGAAAGAACAAATGTCTGTCACATTCTGGTCCAGTAAAAGAGGGACAGAGAATCCCATATTAGGCTTCCTACCTGGTAGATTAAGTTATTCTGGCAGAATTGGTATGAGGATTTGTCATTATCCTAAGGGGCTTGTTCTTCTATTGCTGTGTTGCATACAGAGCCCACTGAGCTGAATGGGGTCTAATAAGAAGGGAAAGATGACACTGCATTTCGGAAAAAAACCTGAATGACTCCTGAGTGTTTTTCAAGTGAGGACAATCTCTGAAAGCTTGAGGCTGTAGTCAGTGTCCTTACAAATCATCCTCAGAGGAGCCTGCCCCAATCTCTCACTTACAGCACTGCCAGGTGGAGAAGCCAGGATTCACAGATTGCAAAACCAGATGATATCACCTAATCCAGCCTTCTGCAGAAGAGAAGGAAGACATGCATATCAGTGACCCTTATATTGAACTTAAAAACTGAAACAGCCATGTACCTGCTCCACCACAGTTGCTCTTGTAGGGCCCATAGTCTTCCAGAGGGACAGGAGCATGTGAGAGATGTTTTATTTCTAAACCTTGCAGGAACCGGTGAGAGGATATCAGCTATTTATACTGGTATTGAAACACATTTAACTCCCTTTGTGTAAATATGGGTGTTTAATAATACAGCAATATACACAAAATACGAGTGTAAACATCATATGGGCACACAGAGAATATTATATTAATGGGTTTAGATTGGCTTATACACTGAAAGGTCACTCAGTGATACCTGCTGTTATACTAACATTTTCCAGAAGGAGTTCTAAAATCATTGTAGAGGAAAGGGCCCACAGAATATTTTTATTTAAATACATTAATCATAAATATATACTAAAAAACTCTCTGTTGAATTAGGAGCTTCAGATATACAAAGTATTTTGACTATTCTAGCAGCACCTTATAAAAGGAATTTGGATTATATTTTGGAAAGATTTCTGTTTCTTTCTTGCATTCATGTGAAAACTGCCTTTGCCAAAGGTAGGAAAGTCGTTATTGATTTTTTTTCTTTCTTCACACACACACACACATATATATATGTATGCATACACACGCATATAGTGGAGAAAGAGAGAGAAAAATGGAGAGAGAAATTTCAGATCTTTTTGCCTCGTATTAATAAACACAGTAAAGTTTCTGGAAGCACCTACATGCTGTAGGATCCACTTCCCATTTCAAAAACCTAGAAGTCTTAGATTCATTGTGATGAGTAGATAAATCCTTAAATAAATTAATCATTCTTCAAAATAGTGCTGGACTCTTACAGACATGCTTAATTTCTGACTGACTTTGGCCCTATAATCTAGATCCTCACATTAACAGTAAAATGAGAGGTGTGGAGAGACCATTATCATTTTAGTATTTCCCCAGGGAGGTCCATTGCATCAGATACTATGAAGAAAATAAATTAACATATTTAGAACAAGCAGCCTGTCTTGCTCCTACGTCGCCTCTTGTGGCCAGAGGCTTGTTGGTTCTTGGAGCTGAGTGTTACACTGCGTGTGAGGTGTGTCTAAGCTCTTTCTTCTGTTGTCCTCCCTCCCCCTGACTCTTGGTCTGCAGGAGCTCTCCTTAGCTCTGAGATGTTTGTCATCCTCATGCTCTACCTCTGGCTTGGGATCGGACTGGCCTGCGCTGGCTTCTGCTGCCACCAGATGCTGCTGATCCTGCGTGGGCAGACTCGATACCAGGTGCGGAAAGGGATGGTGGTAAGAGCCCGGCCCTGGAGGGAGAACCTGCAAGAGGTCTTTGGCAAGAGGTGGCTGCTAGGACTTCTCATCCCTGTGCTGAATGTGGAAAGTGACTACCGTAGGCAGAAAGAGAAATAAAATACCCACGTGCGGGTGTGCAGCCCGTGCACACAACGCCTCCTCTGTTCTCTCCCACTGTCTCCTGGATCACTAAAAAGCTGGGCTACTCCATGTCTCGGGATTGCAGCTGCTGTGGGAGGAAAGGATGGGCTATCAAACAGAATAAATTTAGCATATTAACATGGAGATCACAAAACATGTAGATGAGATACTGCAGCTTAGTAGTCACATCACTGCACCTGTGTATGTGGCAACAGTCTTTGAAGTAGCAGAAAAATTAGTCAGACCTTCTTGTGGCTCCCTGCCTGACTCCTCCAGTCACCAGCCCCATTAGTCACCCTACATAGTCCTAACAAACCACAGCAGGAGCTTTCAGAGAGGCTGGACTGTTGTGATATACTGTAAAAAATGGTGTCTGTTCCTTGGTAGGGTTTTGCAGGGTGCCAACATGAGGCAGGGTTACACACTTGAGGTAACTTCATGTGAGAGCATTCTTCAATGAGCATTGTTCAAGAAGTGTTTGGACAATGATCTCAGGCACATGGTAGGATTCTTGGGGTTGTCCTGTGCAGAGCCACGAGTTGGACTTCAGTGATCCTTGTGGGTCCCTTCCAACTCTGGATATGATTCTATGATTCACAACACTGAGAAGCGCTTAATGCCAGAACTACAGTGCAATCAAGCTGCCCTTGATTGCAGGCTATGCACATGGTAAATGTGACAGGTAAACCTTCTCTCCACAGCCTAGAAAATCAGGAGGAAGACAAAGAGAAATTGAGAATTTCTCATTTCTGTTCTTGATCTGCTCTCTATGCAATGATATGTCAGGACTGTAGCTCTGCTACTTATTTTTAGTAGTCCTTTGTCCAGTGACAGAGTCCAGGCAAAGCTGCCCTTCTGACAGGGAGCAGCAAGCAGATAAATCCTGATCAGATGGAGGCACAAGGAGAGGAAAGCACAAGGTGAATGAAAATGTGTTTGAGAAGCTGTGTGATGAGGCAGGTGATGCATGCCTGTGAGAGACAGAGGGAAGTGTGGACACACAGTGAGCAGTTGGGAGGCTGCCAAGAGCCTTGCTGCTATGTAAGAGCCCTGATGCATCACCCTCTCACAGGGGACACCTGCACCATTAGTGCTGTGAAGAGTTCAAAATCCCAGAAGACAGGAAGGGTTTCCAGCCTATCAGGACACTTCATTTTGCACTAAAACAAACAGAAAAATGGTTATCTCAGACATCCCTGCCACACTGTAGTTACAGGCTGTCCAGGGCAATTCCCTCTCGCATTGCTGCAAAGGGGTAAATTCATCCATGTTATAACTCCATTAAGGAGGTTAATAGAATTACTACAGGGATTAATCCACTTAATGTGTCAGTTGTTTTTTAGCTGCAGCAACAGTCCATGAGACCCTATGCTAATAGGTGCCTTAAGAAAGGATACCACGACATCTCTACCAGGATCATAGCGCTGGATTCCCCAGCAGCTCCAACAAGCAGCCTCTGTTTTGGCAAACTGCATCACCCTATGTGGGCTGGATAGGAACCCATCGCTTCTCTCTAATAGGGTGAGGAGTATGCTGACAAGCTGTGAGAAATGTTATTTCTTCCTCAGAAATACTCTTGGTGCATCCCAGGTAGGGGAATGCACCTTACTTTCATCCTCGAGTTTCTCACAAGCCAGTGGCACTACAGGCTTTGTAAGCGTCTTTTACCATTCACACTCAAATACATGTTTGAGTCAATAAGAAACAAAGTCTATTGTGATGAGCAAAGTAACCTTGAAAATATACTGGAAAAACCCTTAGCTGGATAATTAAAACATGTAGGATCTATGTCCTTCCATGTTGTGTGTGTTCGCATGAACACACCACTGTTTCCATGTGTAACACGCTGTATTTTCACTAACAGTGAACAATAAAAAGTGTTCTGATTTTTTACATGAGCTCTATTGTGCTTTTTGACAGTTAGTTGTCATTAGCTGTCTCTGTACATTTGTTACAGCATACACACAGACATGTTGAAGGAAGAACTTAGGATTTGTTTATTGGCTTTGCCAATAATTCATTGTGTGATTTTTGACAAGTTCTTTCATCTTCCCTACTTTAATGTAATGACCAATCTAACAATGCATCTAATAACCAATTTGCAGACCCATTCTAATTTCTATCTATAAATTACACTATCAACCTCAACTGAAAGGTATGGGAAAATTAAGCTATTATCATCGCCCACAAACAGCATCTCGACATAAATTATTCCTTACTGGCAAATGGCATCAAGGTGAGCAGACAGTCACCTTGATGCTGGGACTAGAGCCAGAGTCTTGTGCCACACACCTAACCTTGGAAGGATTCCCAAGATTATTCTTATTCCACAGACTCAGTGATCCAGCTTCTTCTCCTTTATATACTTAAAGAAAACAGGCTGTCAACATTTCAGGCAGCAGCTACCTCCCACCAGCAGAAATTATGGTGTGAAATCTTTGCCCTCTGCTTTTGGTGTTTGATGGCCTCTGCAGTCTTGGGCAGTTCATGGCACTTGGTGCCTGCTACCACAGTGCCTTGGGCTGTAAAACTCTTTGGAGCCACATACTGAGAAAAGCAAACAAAATGAGAGTTTCAGTGGGCCACTCTGCATGGACAGAATCCGTACAGTACAACAGGATTAGTTGCCTGAGAAGCTTGTTGCCTGTTCCCATCAGGGTTGGATCCTGCCTGGCTCCTGTGTCAGGGTCACAGCTGTCTGCCCTCACCACAAAATTTCAGTCCTTGCAGAAGCACAGATCCCAGTTTGAGTCAGCACAGCCCAGTCACACATAACTATTCTTCCTGTCAGGCACCTGTGTTCCCAGACGTGAATTGCTGCATCACCATTTTATGCAGCTAAATGGTTCCTTTGCAGTAAACTGCTGGATTCCAGTAGTAATGGTGGGACTTTCAGATGGATACAACCTTTACAGTTATGATCCTCTGGGATGGAAAGATCTATAAAAATAGAACATTAGACTGGCCTTATATATTGACTTATTTCCCTGCTCATTCCCAAGTGTGTGGACTGCCCTGTTTTGGGTAGCATAGTGGTTCTGCAGGAACTGTTGAGAGTAGCTCTTTAATTAGCCAGCTGCCCTGCCATGCCTTCCTTGCCATACCTTTCTGTACTTGTAGAAATCCTTGGCAAGAAAATGTACCAGGGCTCAACAACTATGAACAGAACCTTTTCTCTTTGCTATGATTTAGTAAATGGAGGCTGAGCTCAATGGCAATGTCACAAAATCTAAATCTGTTCAATGGCTTTCAGGTTTTCTAAGGATAAATAATAAAAGCTTCTCATCCTCTGTGCTTACAGAGTCATATACTTACTATGTGCATTTCAGTACATAGCACCTGTAATAGCAAATATATTTTGGAACATGATTTCTTGTAACAATGCCGAAATACTTACAAAGGTTATAAAAATAAAGCACTTAAAGCTTCTCTGGCTTTGGAAAATCAGATGACCACCATTTCTTCTCTGATAATGCTAATGACTGAAGTAAAAGCTCCCTGTTGCTAAAGATCTTGCACAAAGACCACAGACTTTTGCTTAAGTGGCTTGTCTATTTCAAATGTGACTACCCGAAAATATGGTGTCACCTCAGAGGTCTCAGAAGCCTTTGCAATGACAGTGTAGAGCAAATCAGGGGATGCAATTGTGAAATAAACCAGAAGTCTGTTCTTACATATAGTAAGAATCTCATATAAAGTAAGTAGTAGGTGATTTTCCTCTTCATACTACATTATTGGGCAGCCCTGAAGGCCTGCATGCAAAAAGTCTTCACTAGATATTCTCAGAGGATACAGAGTTAAAACATAAGAGTCTCAAGTAATAAGGCAGAGGGAACATAAGAGAAGAGATGACATGAAATAGCATTTATCTTAAGAAATAGCCAGCTCAAGGGAGATGATCACAGTCTAAAAATACTTGCAAGGAGACGGACTAAATGAATGAGGAGACTCATTAACTGTAAGGAGATAGCTGGAGGAGGACAAGCAGTCCTGGACTGAGAGAAAGAAAGAAAAGCTGAGGTCAAGAGCAACCAGAGAAAGTGGCCTCAGTGAGAGCAGAAGTGTATAGGGATTATGAGAGCCATCAGGCAATATGAGGCATGACAACAGAATTCAAGTTATCTTCACTGATTGTTGACTGAATGAACACAAAGTTAAGAAAACTCATTGGTAATCACCTCCTGCTCAAAAAAACTCAAAACCCCAGCAGAGCCAAAAGGGTTTTTCTCTCTTGAACAGCAAGTTATAAGCAGGAGATGCATGGATAGAAATCATGAGTAGCAACTGCAGAGTCTACATAATTCTCTTTGAGTTATTTAAAGACTAACCAGAACTATCATGGTTGGAGTGAAGCAATGACCTACTTGTTCAAATAAATAAATAAACAGAGAAGAAAATTTAAATCATATGTGGAGTCTCTGTACCCTGCTAGATATTCAAATCTATGGAAACATGATGTCAGACAACAGTAAGATGGTCTCTAATAACAATGTGTCCACATGTGGGGTCTCTGCTTTTCCAGTTCTTTTCCAGAAAGCCAGGGGAATGAGGAATCCTTGAAGATTACACCAAAGTCAGCAAATATGGACCAAGCAGTTCTTCAGTCCTTTTATGGAGCCATCCTGGCAGCAGCCTTGTCTTCATTACACCAAAGAGCTTTCAGCATTGGTTGTCCTACTGAATCTGACTGGCAAGTGATGTCAGAGGTCTGGCAGGCCAGTCCCATGTCTCTTAAGGCTTTTGGAGCAGATTCCTCTAGTATCCCCAGATGTTTACAAATAAAAAGTGCAAGTTCCCAAGTACCAAGTGTCATACACTATTTGCACAGTGCCTCATTTAACATGTTGTCAGTCACCTTAATAGTAGTTCCAGAATTGCTATCAATTAAAAATAAAGGGACCACGTTAATCAGTTTACTTCAAAAGAGGCAAGGCAGTGGATGGCAATAGCAAGTTCTATGTGAAAGTTTCATTTGTCTGCTACTGATTTTACTGTATATATACCAGCTTAGAGGAATGCACAGCCCCTGGCCTATATTTCAGCTGTTTTGCTCAGTCTGTCTTTATCACCATTCATTCACAGATTCATGTTATTATCATGCCTGACTGGAAAATTTTCATTAGCTGTCAGGTCAGTGTTTTTACTGCTTGTATTGGACAAGAAGAGATAAGACCTGAACTTATGTATCATCAGACTACTGAAAAAACAATAGATTGGTTTGTCATTGCAATACCCTTAATAATCTTATATGTTCACTGTGCAAGAGAGTTAACACAGTGGACACACACGAGAGTACCCTAGGAGCTAAAAAGCAGCTTCTGAATGCAGCCATGTCACAGAGGTTATTATCAAGGAATTATGTTCTCATCCAGAACTGCTTAAGACCAGAGATGAGCTTTATGGTCAGTGACAAAAAATCCAAGAAACAGATCAGCAAGGACTCCTAGTGGTTTATGATTGCTGGGAGGAACTTGTTGACCAGTACAACACAAGCAATCTTTGTAGGCCTATCAGAGATGCAGTTCATAGAGACCTAAAATCTCTTTTAAAGCTCTGGAAGTAAAGCTTAAAAAATAATTTCATGCAAGGAGGAAAGGTGAAACTTCATATCAAACTCTAAGACCCAGTTTCTGGCTCCCAGAACTGGAGTGTTTTTCAGGTGTATGGATTCAGCCCACCACCATCTTAGATCATTC